CTGGGGATGGCAGTCGGGAGGGGACCGCGGAGAAGCCCCTCTGGCCGGGCGGAGGAGGAGGCGGGATCCCGAGGGGTGACCGAGAGGCTCCCCGCTGGCCAAGTCGGCTCCGGCTGTAGCTGTGGGGATGGGGTTAAGCCGAGGAAATGGCTGTGCTGGTCAGGAAGGAGGAGCCTTGGGGGGTTCCCTTGGGGGGAATGAAGGGGGCCTCCGCTGGGGGAGCGAGGGGGAAGGGTCAGATGCCAGAGGGACGAGTGGGCCGGCGGTGAGGTGACCCCATCGCTGCAGGCCCCTGATCGAGGAGGTGGACGAGGCCTCCACGTGAGGCTTCAGGAGGCCAGGGCCTCCGGTATCTGAGAGGAACGAGGTGAATCGGGAGTCCTGGGGGGCTCAGCTGAGGGGAGCCCAGAAACGGGTGAGAGTGGGGAAAGGTCGGATTTGAGAGATGTTTCCTTTTGAAGGAGAGTCTAGTGTTGGACGAGGGAGCAAACCCTGGATTGGCTCTTGCATAGACTGTTACTCTCATTCGAGCCTTGGGATCCTTGGGACAGATACGTGGGTTCAGCTCGAAGTTTCCCATTGGCTGGATGGGAGTGGGCACTCTTGGGTGAGGCTGCACCTTTGGGTGCCTGGCAGTGAAGTCAGCCAAGGAGGTTCTCACAGGCGGGGTGAGGACAGGTTGCCTCCCATGGAGGAAGCAGACGGGGGGTCATGTTCCCCACTGTGTGCCTGCGGGAACTCCTGCGTGGGCACTACATTTGCTCCGATTGTTAAGGCTATAGCAACAGCAGTGCTGGGAGAGGCTGGTGGTCTAGGGAAAATCCGAGGGCACCCATCTTCTGGGGTGCTGCTCCTCTGGCATCCAGAGAGCTTGCCTGCTCGCTAGGGTGGGGGTAAAGGAATGGGTCAGGGCTCTGATGGGAGGTCTCCACTCAAGTGGTGGCTTTTCTGGGAACCTAGAGGGGCCATGCATCCTTGGACGAGGCTTTGGTGTCAACAGGAACTGTGCTGAGTCAGTCGTTTGCCAAGACACTGCCACAGGCACTCGCAGAAGGGAGAGGCTTAGGCATACTGCTGGGGACGCTTCTACCCAGACACACCCCTGCCAGGTGGCCATGAACTGGGGGTGCAGTGTGGCTGCATGGGTAGTCTTCCAGCTCACCCTGCTTGCAGGCACTTGAGATTGACTCCTACAATCCGTTCTAACAGCTACTTGATTCTACCTTCTTGAGATCCTGCCAGTGGAAGAGTGCTTCGCAAGTGCCCCAGTGGGCAGATGAGACTCGCCAGCTGTGGGCTAGTGGAGCACAGAGCACTCGCAAGTCTTAGATGATGCAGAACAGGCGTTGGGTTGCCCTAAAATGGGCTTCCCCAAGCTCTTCTTTTATTCAGCACATGTTACTGAAGGCCAGCTGTGTCCCATTGTGAACAGCAAGCAAGATGGACGTGGCCTCTGGCCTTGGGGAGCTTCCATTCAAGTCGGGGAGAAGGCCATTGTAGGAGTAGATAGCTAAGATGCTTTTGGGTGGCAGTAGGTGCTCCTAAGGAAGTTGTGTGGTGTGACTGAGTGTCAGAGAAGCAGGAGAGAGGGTCAGACTGAGTGCAAAGGCCCTGTGGTGGGCTCGAGCTTGGCGTGTTGAAAGAATTAAATAACAAGCCTGTGTGCAAGGGAGCTTGTGAAGGAGGTGAAGAGCTTGTGAAGGGGTGGGGAAGCCATCGAACAGGTATCTGGTATGAGGTAGGCATTCAGTGAATGTTGCTGGATGAATTAATGTCTTAAAAGGGGGGGAGGGTGACAAGACCTCCCCTGTGTCCCTAGGCAGTGGAAGGAGTGCACGTAGCAGTAAGAAGACCTTAAGTGGGGTAAAGCCAGCGGACAGGCTCCAGCTTTCTGACCCAGAGGAGGCTCAGGTGTGGCGAGGGGCCCTGAGACCTTCTTCAGGCAGGTCTAGCAAGAGCTCTGGGTTAACCTGTGCCTCCAGTTGCTGGGAAACAGCTGTGCAGCCTCTGGGTTCGTATAAGTCCTGAGCGGAGCTCTTTATGGTCACTGCCTTCAGCATTTGGCCACAACGCTTTCCTACCTCCCAAGGTTCTACAGTGAGAAGCTCCCCACAGTCCCTCGGGATGCCCGTGCTATGACAGGTGACTTCCTCCTGCGTTGGCCAGGATCGCAGGACATCAGACAGTGGCCCTTGGCTGCCGGGTCCTTCCTCTCACCCAGCACCCCACAGGCTTCCCTGACAGCTAACCAGCAACCAGGTGCCATAGGGGTGCGCCCTGGCTGGGCATGAGTTTAGATTTGCTCACACCAGAGTGGCCTCACACACATTCAGCATATGGAAGTGTAACCACGTGGGCAGTGACGTTAAGGAATCTTCCAGACATGGGGGTGTTCGCAGAGACAGTTGGAGACAGGGATGAGCGCCCCAGGCCATAGTTGACCTCGGTTCCCTTGTCTCCCTGGTGGGCATCTTGTGCCACCATAGTTAGGTACCTTTTGTATAACATGAGCCCTGCACTCTAGCGATGAACTTCAGGTTGTCCCAGCAGAGGAGCTGGCACCCTGCTCCCGGGCCAGAGGGGCGAGGCGCATGCTGGGCCGTCACACTGTTACTCTCTCTCACAGGGTTACCCCCTCCACATTCCTTTAAAACCACTCTGCTCCTCCATCACATTCTCTTCTCTCCATGTCTTTCTCTGTTTCCTCCCCCCCCACCTGAATTTATAGCTCCACAGTAACTTGGGGAAAAGTGGAATCCAAAATAGCTAGTCAGGAGTCCCCTTTAATCCTCAAGGGCTGCAGTGAAGACCAGAGCAGCGGTTTGCTGGAGGAAGTATTCGAGTGCTCTGATTTTTATATTATGTGTAGAGCTCTGGAGTCAAGTCACATGCCTTGACTTACCTGTTACACCATCTCCTCTAACATTCCACAGCCCAGCGAACTAACCGGGTCCCGGGCCAGCCCATGGTGCTGCTGAGGGAATGGGTAAGGCTCAGGGGCCCCAGGAGTTTGACCCCAGCTCCCTCCCACCTGCTCCTGCGTCTTGGGTAGGAGATGAGAGAGGCTCGGGTCTTGGTGGATGCCCTTCCCACGCCTCAGAGGGTCGAATCATGGTGAGCAGGGGACTCTCATGAGCAGTGTCTGCTGCCGCCAAATCGGGAGCCCTTACAGCCTCTCTGGCCACTGCCCGTCTCCTCCAGCGTAACCGCTGTCTTGCAAGAGTGAGGGTCACCCGCAGACATTCTTGCCTGCACCATGTCCTGATTGACTCACGCTCCGGGGCTCAAAGCCCCTCATGGCCCGCACAGAGCAGGTCCTTGCCTCCACACCAGTCCCAGGGTTCTGCTGAGGCGGCACGTCCAGGGTCTGCTGTGTGCTGTATGCTGTGTGACTGCAGTAGGCATTCCTTGTGGCAGCCCTTGGTGGAGGGGACGGAATAGCCTAGAGGAGTGACAAGCCTGGGGCAGAATCGGGACAGTGCTCTTGGCCATGTTGTCAGCCTCATCCCCACTGCCTGCTCTGAGCCAGGCGTCCGAAGCACCTCTGGCCATCAACATGTCTGTGGACATTTCTGCCTCAGCTGCCTAGTTCGCTCAGAGGTATATAGCAGTGACTTTCAAGTGGGAGTCTTCCCTCATCCTCACACCCACCCTGTCACAAATCCACTAGGTGTAACCCCCCACGTAAATGCCACATCCTCTCCTCTGTCTCCACCGTTGGCATCCTAGTCTAACCAGAACTGTCTTTCGTTTGCTTGGAGGACCGAAAAAGTCTCTTGCCTACTGTCTTTTTTCCTTTTCCAGTCCATCAGACCATCTTCCTTTTTTTTTTTTTTTTTTTAAAGTTGGAGTCTCACTTTTTTTTTTTTTTTTTTTTTTTTTGAGTTGGAGTCTCACTCTGTCACCCAGACTGGAGTGCAATGGCCGCTCTTGGCCACCGCAGCCTCAACCTGCTGGACTCCGGCGATCCTTCCGCCTCAGCCTTCCAAGTAGCCGGAATTACAGGCATGCACTACCATGCCTGGCTGATTTTTTTGATTTATTGTAGAGATGAGGTCGCTGCCCAGGCGGGTCTTGAACCCGCGGGCACAGGCAATCCACTCACCTCAGCCTCCCAAAGGCACGGGTGGAGTCTCAATCTTTGTCACCCAGGCTAGAGTGCAGAGGCACGCTTATGGCCACCATAGCCTCTAACTGCTGGGCTCAGGCGATCCTTCTACCTCAGTCTTCCAAGGAGCT